ACAGGATATATACACCCATAAACTCATAGCCAGAGTCATTATATATTATATGAGAGACTTTAATCAAGTGAAAGGCCTCACAAAATCACATAAACATAACCAAACACTTGAATTATGTGAGCATTCGCTCGATTCCAATGCACTATCACTTAATTAAATGACGGCTCATATATCGCATACAGATTCACAACATTTTATATCATATATATACTGAACGGCTATTGTCTCTCATCTCTTATGAATCGTAACAATCGTTTAGGATTTTTATATTTTATGTATTTATGTCGATAGCAATACTCAACTGATGTCAGACTATAGATGTGTCCAAACGAGAGATAGACATAAATACTTTGTACGCGAATTTTTATGAATATGTTTTTGCTTAGTATATTTTGTTAGTTTTTTTGGACATTATTTCGACAATTGCTTGATGAAATTTATTTTAATCCACTTAATTTTTTGCGATATTTTTATTTGCAAATATATTTCACGAGTTCATAAAAGTCTGCATGAATTGTGTTGACAATAAAAACACTGTCCATAAGAAATAGTAATTTTTTATTATGGTTGGCTAAATATAGAAATAGTGGTACAAAAAAAGTGCAATCAAATTATTTCAGTCTAATTAATCCGGCAAAAAGTATTTTCTATTTGCTATCATTGTCTCCAATATATTTCTCTGTTTTCAATTCGCTATTCAATACACCTTTCAATTGTGGGTTCAGTTCAACGCGTTTTCATTTCAAATGTATCATTGATTTTAATGATTGGACTTTTGTTGATAAATTATACTGTTTTTATCTGTTTATTCTCACTTCTCATAAAATAGTAAGTTATTAAAAATATTTCATTAACTGAATGGTCGCTTAAACAAATGAGTTATATTTAAGAAGTATCTTAATAATTTGAGAAATTAAAATAATTATAATTTTAAGACTATCACGGTACATTTGCAAGCAAATAGGCATATTTTATAAATATAATTTGATAAACATTTGACAATGTTTGTATTTTTGTAAATTTAATCAAAATAATAGTCTAGAAATTCTAATCAATCTGGAAGTATAAAATTAGCTTATTTTTTGACATGAGATGCTTTCAAAACGATAACTTTTAAACCGATTTTTTCCTTCATTCACTTCACATTTTTTATGTATTACTTATTCTGTAAATACTTTTCTCATCCAATCTCTCGAGTATTAAAAAAGTCAAGCAATGAATGACTCGAACCGATCGTATCGTTCAATAGTTTTCCAATCAATGATTTTAGTAAAAAAAGTTTTTCTATTATAATAACGGCACTCAATCTTATGATAAACATTTGAATATGTTTATGGAGAATACCGTATGTTTTATTCAGACACTTGAATACATTGTATTTTCTAAACAAACTTTTCAAACTCTATATTTATGAATTTGAATCAATTATGGTTATATTAAACTCATTTTTATAAAATATCAAAATCTATAGGATATTTTACTAAACCAATAAACCAGATATATTTTATTTACTGTACTTACATAATGTAATGTAAGTAATGTAAGTCTTACATAATACAAGTGTGTATATTTATAAATAGATAGCTTATCTAAGATAAGAATAATTTATTATAAATAAAGTATGTTTATACATAATTAATTTATTGTTATTTTTATCAGTTTATAAATATAAATTTAGAAATATAAATCCTAAGGATACAATTTAATGTTATTGATAGTAATTATCGTAAATTAATTTTAATAATTTCGTGCTATACTATATTTATATATTATAAATATTGTTTAAAATTAATATCGATCTCATATAACGTTATATTAATAAATCAAACGTTCATATAATTTTCCTTTTAATTACTTATTCATTATGTATTAAATCATCTATGTAGCAAATTGAATTCCTTGCTGAGTTTGAGTTCAAAGTACCGTTAATAAAATAAATGTTTTATTGAATTAATTTAGAAAACATCAAAATATCTATATTTGATGCAAAAGTAGATGATATGTCTGAAGGAAAATATTTGCTCTACAATATTGCATTTTAGCAAAATAAATATTTTTAGCACAAATATTTTAATGATGTCATATTTATTGAATGTCTTTAATTAAAGATTTAGGAAGTATTTAAAATTTAATTTTAATTTAAAAACTATTGTATAGTAAATCAGCTTATTGTAGTTTTAATTACAGACTTGAAATTACTATTAATGCAAATATTTTATATTGTCAATATTTTAAATACATTTGAAATTGTATAAATAAATTGTTTATCGCTATAAGTGTGATGAATGTGAAATATTTATTCAGATAATTTTAACTAATCAAAGCTATTACTTGAAATCAACAAACTTTCAAATATATCAAGTTTTTTAAAACTTTATTTGACAGCAAATTACACTAGCACTTACAAGTTAGTTGCATTTATAATTTCCAATAAAATAATTAAGAAGTTTTACTTATTATACAATTTCCCACATACAGTATTTTATTTTGTATATAATATACTAAAATCTTTGGTATTTGGATGAAAATGTAAATTTGAATCTCCATTTAAACTAATGCCAAACAATCTTGGATTTGACTGTGATTTGTACGTATATACTGCAGGTCTGAATAATAATAAGGATTTCTTTCGTTTGCCAATAAATCGATACTAAAATACAAATATAAACAATAACTACACAAACAAATGCATAAACATCTACGACNTAATCCAGTTATATAAAAAACAATTTGAATGGTGTGTTCAACCAGATATGTATGCCGTGATTACCGGTGCCACAGAAGGTCTGGGTGTTGAATATAGTCAACAATTAGCCGAAAAGGGATATGATTTATTACTCATGAGTAGATATAGTGACAAACTAGATCAACTAAAGTATGATATCCAACGCAAACATCCTAAGTGTCGGGTGCGGACAGTGACCACCAATTTTCAAAGGACAGACATTTATGAACAAATTGATAATCAATTGAAACAATTAACTGAAATTGATGTTTTAGTAAATAATGCGGGCATTTATTATCCAAATAGAAAACTTGAATATTTTACACAAATTTCAAATTTACATGAATTTGTTTTAAATATAATTAACGTTAACATAATGTTAAGCACTCGACTCATGGCACTAATATTACCGGGAATGGTGTCTAAGGGTCGGGGAGTAGTCATAAATATTTCCTCATTTTCAGCCGTAATGCCGGTGCCGTTACTATCGATATACTCGGCCACTAAGGCTTATATCGATTCCATCTCCAGAGCTCTTCATGAAGAATATAAAGACAAAGGGATTGTCATTCAAAGTGTTTTACCATTTTATACCACTATTAACCATTTGAGAGACAGTTTGTCCACATATTGGTTGCCTAATAAGGAGCAGTCGGTGCGAAATGCACTTTTGGCTATCGGATCACAGTCTAGAGCTTGTGATCCATTGGTGGTTGCGTTGAAAACTTATTCATCAATGGTATCACAAATTATTGGAAGTGATTTGCATATTATTATGGCTTATAAATGGCTACAAATGACCAAAACTAGAGTTAAGCCCAAAACAAAACTTAAGATAAAAATTAATTAACTATTTCTAAGAATTCATATTTTTGTTTTATATATTTTAAGTGTTGTAAATATAGTGCATATAAATTTAATTTATTCATATGAATAATTAAATATTTGATAGATAACTTCAGTATTAATTGAATAATTATTGTATTATTTTGAAATTATTATTATTACCGTATTAAAATCTATTTTTGCAAAATAAGTTTAGATATGTGTTATTAAACAAAAAATATTTTATACAAATATACTTAATTTTTGTTTAATTCCATAAAATGTATATCAATTTATTAATCAATATTTAATTTTATCTAATTTAATATTTGTGTATTTGAATGGCAAAAACTCACAAAAACGCACCAGTGTGGGTTACAAAATGTTGCCAAAATGTGCAAACCATGTTAATTAAAATTCTGTACACTGTTTACAAATAATTAATTGAATGGAAATATAATTATTCATTTCATAGAAGAAGAATAATTGTTATCTAAAGAGACATATACTGTATGAGGAGTTGAGGGACAGGATATATACACCCATAAACTCATAGCCAGAGTCATTATATATTATATGAGAGACTTTAATCAAGTGAAAGGCCTCACAAAATCACATAAACATAACCAAACACTTGAATTATGTGAGCATTCGGTCGATTCCAATGCACTATCACTTAATTAAATGACGGCTCATATATCGCATACAGATTCACAACATTTTACATCATATATACTGAACGGCTATTGTCTCTCATCTCTTATGAATCGTAACAATCATTTAGGATTTTTATATTTTATGTATTTATGTCGATAGTAATACTCAACTGATGTCAGACTATAGATGTGTCCAAACGAGGGATAGACATAAATATTTTGTATGCGAGTTTTTATGAATATGTTTTTGTTTAGTATATTTTGTTAGATTTTTTGGGACATTATTTCGACGATTGCTTAATGAAATTTATTTTAATCCACTTAATTGTTTGCGATATTTTTATTTGCAAATATATTTCATGAGTTCATAAAAGTCTGCATGAATTGTGTTGACAATAAAAACACTGTCCATAAGAAATAGTAATTTATTATTATGTTTGGCTAAATATAGAAATAGTGGTACAAAAAAAGTGCAATCAAATTATTACAGTCTAATTAATCCGACAAAAAGTATTTTCTATTTGCTATCATTGTCTCCAATATATTCTCTGTTTTCAATTCGCTATTCAATACACCTTTCAATTGTGGGTTCAGTTCAACGCGTTTTCATTTCAAATGTATCATTGATTTTAATGATTGGACTTTTGTTGATAAATTATACTATTTGTATCTGTTTATTCTCACTTCCCATAAAATAGTAAGTTATTAAAAATATTTCATTAACTGAATGGTCGCTTAAACAAACAAGTTATATTTAAGAAGTATCTTAATAATTTGAGAAATTAAAATAATTATAATTTTAAGACTATAGCAAGCAAATAGGCATATTTTATAAATATAATTTGATAAACATTTTACAATGTTTGTATTTTTGTAAATTTAATCAAAATAATAGCATAGGAATTCTAATCAATCTGGAAGTATAAAATTAGCTTATTTTTTGACATAAGATGCTTTCAAAACGATAACTTTTAAACCGATTTTTTCCTTCATTCACTTCACATTTTTTATGTATTACTTATTCTGTAAATACTTTTCTCATCCAATCTCTCGAGTATTAAAAAAGTCAAGCAATTAGATGCTTTCAAAACGATAACTTTTAAACCGATTTTTTCCTTCATTCACTTCACATTTTTTATGTATTACTTATTCTGTAAATACTTTTCTCATCCAATCTCTCGAGTATTAAAAAAGTCAAGCAATGAATGACTCGAACCGATCGTATCGTTCAATAGTTTTCCAATCAATGATTTTAGTAAAAAAGTTTTTCTATTATAATAGCGGCACTCAATCTTATGATAAACATTTGAATATGTTTATGGAGAATACCGTATGTTTTATTCAGACACTTGAATACATTGTATTTTCTAAACAAACTTTTCAAACTCTATATTTATGAATTTTGAATCAATTATGGTTATATTAAACTCATTTTTATAAAATACCAAAATCTATAGTATATTTTACTAAACCAATAAACCAGATATATTTTATTTACTGTACTTACATAATGTAATGTAAGTAATGTAAGTCTTACATAATAAAAGTGTGTATATTTATAAATAGATAGCTTATCTAAGATAAGAATAATTTATTATAAATAAAGTATGCTTATACATAATTAATTTATTGTTATTTGTATCAGTTTATAAATATAAATTTAGAAATATAAATCCTAAGGATACAATTTAATGTTATTGATAGTAATTATCGTAAATTAATTTTAATAATTTCGTGCCATATTGTATTTATTAATTATGTATAACATTTAAAATTAATATCGATCTCATATAACGTTATATTAATAAATCAAACGTTCATATAATTTTCCTTTTAATTACTATTCATTATGTATTAAATTATCTATGTAGCAAATTGAATTCCTTGTTGAGTTTCAGTTCAAAGTACCGTTAATAAAATAAATGTCTTATAAAATTAATTTAGAAAACATCAAAATATCTATATTTGATGCAAAAGTAGATGATATGTTTGAAGGAAAATATTTGCTCTACAATATTGCATTTTAGGAAAATAAATATTTTTAGCACAAATATTTTAATGATGTGATATTTATTAAATGTTTGTAATTAAAGATTTAGGAAGTATTTAAAGTTTAATTAAAATTTTAAAACTGTTTTATAGTAAATCAGTTATTGTACTTTAATTACAGACATGAATTTACTATTAATGAAAATATTTTATAGTAACAATAGTAGTAACAATTAAATACATTTGAAATTGTATAAATAAATTGTTTACCGCTATAAGTGTGATGAATTTGAAATATTTATTCAAATCATTTTAGCTAATCAAAGCTATTACATGAAATCAATAAACTTTCAAATATATCAAGTTTTTAAAAACTTTATTTGACAGCAAATTACACTGGCACTTAGTTGCATTTATAATTTCCAATAAAATAGTTAATAAGTTTTACTTATTATACAATTTTCCAAATATTTTATTTTGTATATAATATACTAAAATCTTTGGTATTTGGATGAAAATGTAAATTTGAATCTCCATTTAAACTAATGCCAAACAATTTTGGATTTGGCTGTGATTTGTACGTATATACTGCAGGTCTGAATAATAATAAGGATTTCTTTCGTTTGCCAATAAATCGATACTAAAATACAAATATAAACAATAACTACACAAACAAATGCATAAACATCTACGAC